AAAAACTCCTATTATCAGGTTACTCTGAGAAATTCCCTACTCATCTCCATTGCTGGAAAAGTCATTCCTAAAAGCACTTATGAAGATCACAAAAAAGATATTTCCCCAAACACATCCACGACTATATCCTTACATGCGCAGAAGGGCCCAGGCACCACATCAAGCTCACTAATGACAAGGCGGTATCAACTGGCAAAACACGATGTAATGAAAACCTCCCTTTCTAACGCTAGGGCCGAAAGCTTGCGACAAACGATATCCTACATAAACAACAAACAAATAAATTGACTAAAACACTAACTTCACCATCTTTGCATCCACAAGAGATGGAAAGAGATCGATAACCCGTAACTTGTTTACAACATCTCTAGCGTTAAACTTCAGAAATAGAGGCTTTAAGTTTCGGTTTAAAATTTTCAACTGGATTAAGAAAATATTACACTGTAAACACTTTACCACTACAGATTCAACGACACAGAATTTTAAAAAAAAGTTTCATACAAGATATCCCAGCAGCCACCCTTACTCATACCGAAGAGACTACCCTACCTAGGAGATACCTTCTGGCATTAAAAAACCTATCCATGAATAAAAAATAGTCATAACCCCATACGATAAATGAGACGGAATAGATACCATGGATACCAACGTCTATACTGAAAAATTAGAACCCCTCTTAAAGGACGATAACATAAAAACAATTAAGAAATAGTAAATATAGATATACAATCTGATTTTCTCATAACGTTCTTAACTGCCATGGCCTTAGTATTGAAGAAACAATTTCAAATGCCCAAGAAATTGCATAACATTAGGTTTATATTATTCGGCATGATATATAACTTATACATGACTAGCAGTAGAGCCCGGCGTTGCCCGGAGATGTAACAGTAAGAGATAGATCAAGTATCGACCATCGTAAAGACTGAAAAATAAAATTGACAAAGATTATTGTTTAAGGTTGACGGACACGCATGTCTTAATTAGTTTTTTTGGATTTTTTTTTACGAATTGATCAACCCCCAAACTCAAACAAAAAACATTGTTTTCAATCGTTATGAGTCTACCGATTGAATAGAAATTTATTATAAACAATTGTCTTGTAAATGGAATTTTTAAAGCATTCTGAATGTAAAAATAAAGAAAAAAGTGTGCAAGACAATAAGAAACACTACCTGCCAAAAGAAAAAGTGAAGTTTTGTTGAAATCGGTTGAAAAATGTAGGAAATCCGATCCCATATATAAACGAACACACACAAACAACCTGGGTTTTATAATAAGTATAACTCGATATGAGTTGTCCCCCTTTCATTCTCGTGATGCCTCTTAATCGTGTTTTCAAATTGATTTCGTGCAAAAACAATTGTGTTTTCCAATTTTTGGCGCTGTTAGAACCACCGCAAGGTAATTTTACGTAGTCCTGTGAAGTTTTGTTGAAATCGGTTGAAAAATGTAGGAAATCCGATCCAATATATAAACGTACACACACACACACACACACACACACACACACACACACACACACACACACACACAATCTGCGTTTTATAATAAGTAAGATTTGGGGAATACAGTGAAAAACATTTAGGCATCATTTCATCCTCAACGCTAGAAAACGGTCATACAAAGTCCACAAATTCAACTGCCTACATCCCGCCGATAGCACTTCTGACAACACAAAATTCATAATCATAACATCTCACGCTCTATCTATAAAATCTGAAAACAAATTAGCTATCCATAATACTATGGTCTTTACCACCACCTCCAAAACAATCGGAGTTATAATTAGGAAGAAAAATAAATCCATCACAACTACATATGCTAGTATTTATAAAAAAAAACAAAATGTTTGCAATGTAAAAACTCTTAAATCGGCGAGACATCGCGGAATCTAAAAACCTGTATCTATGATCATAAAAGGTATTTACGTTGGGACAACCTTTTAAACTCGCTCGTAATACGCAAGAACAAAAGTGGCCATTACTTTGATTTTACAAATGCCATGCTAATTTTAAAAAAGGACACAATTCTTTACGTCGAAAATGCTTCGAGGCAATCCTGATAAATATTTTACTAACTATAAACACACATAAAAAAAAACATTATATTACATGACTAACCTCTATTCAATCCATTCTAAAAGAATCGAACATATGTTTATCTACCAGAAGCGATGATAACTTAAAAACGTCCCGAAATCAACATGAGGACAACCACCAGGCATAAATAATGTCTAATACACAAACACACTTACAAATATACATTATCATCTGAATCCCACGTATACAAACTAGAATTATGATACACATACATGCATAAATCAATATTTATTTAAGTTAGACTTGGAATCCATTTTTTTTTTTTTGGAGAAGGGACGTGTCGTCTCTCCTTAAGTTCAGAACACCATAAATTATACTATCGTTGTTTAACAAGTCAAATGCACGTGAAGCCTAATTAACCAATGAAAATCAACCAACGGAAAAATTTCATTTTTCCTTTTTTCCCCATATTTTATTCTCTGATGAAGCTTTAATAAAAGTGAAACATGCTAGATTGATATTAGCTTCTTGTTGTTCCTTATCCTATTACACACACACACACACACACACACACACACACACACACACACATATATATATATATATATATATATATATATATATATATATATATATATATCGAACTCAGAACATTCATTAATCGCGTTGAACACATTTACCCTCAAGGTGACCCCGTGGATTGACCACCTATTGGGACTTAAACTCAACCGAGACTTCGTGGACCTCAGACAGACGATCCATCGCTAAAGATGCTCGAAAATGGTCGGTTCTCTGTACGACTCAGTAAATACCTGCTTTCTGCTGCAATTCTATACGTCTACAAAATGGAGTACTATTATATTGGCAAGAGTTGCACAATCTTCCCTTTTTACTCTCGATAGTCCAAAGGCGTTTCCACATCCTTGTGGGCGAGGAATTATTTTCCGCCCGATAACCCCTTTCCCACAAACGAAACGCTGCGAGCCTTTCGCTACTCTATGGCTTGTACATCGTGAAAATCGTCGTAAAAAATATATGATAGAATAAAGAGTAAATAGAAAACCCTATCATTCTATCGGATTGTAATCTATCCATATTTGATTCCAAATCTCTCTCTCTCTCTCTCTCTCTCTCTCTCTCACACGCACGCGCGCGCATATAAAATAAAATAGCATAAATAATAATGCTAGCTATTAATATATGCAAAATTATTAGGTTGGTGCAAAAATAACGACGTAATAATGTCGTTTTTTGACGTTAAAAAATACATCAAAAAACGACATTATTACGTCATTATCTTTGCACCAACCTAATATATTAGGTATCAATGCAATCATTTAAGCAACATATTTATATGCGAACATGTTTCATTAAAAAGGAAAGACGAAATTTTAATACGGTGTTTTTCTTGTTTCCCTTCATGAAAAAGTATGTTTAGTTCCAATTAATGCATATATTGTTACAATATGCGTCTGTTCAGTTTCATAATTCGAGGTTAATTAGATATGTACTCTTTCCTATATTCAAATCCTTTTAAAAACCTGTGGTCACCGTTATATTGTGGTGGACGAGCCATTTGACTAAACAGCAGGATACTTTATTGGGTAAATATATCGGAAGTTTCTGAATACACTTTAAACCGCAGATCCAACGTTGAAGAAGATTTTGTCGAGTGTCGGATAATTTATTTTTTTATTTTATAGTTAGCGTATTAAATGTTTGAAATCTTATACAGTATATGTCTTAACGAGTAGAGAAACTTGCCAGCAATAGACTTTTAACCATACTGGCATGGATTGCGTTATGATTCGTACGGTAGCAGGTTAGTCCGTGAGATATAGTGATAGTTATATGTCCTACGTATGAATTTGAAGCTTGTTCTCCCCCCCCCCACACACACACTTTGTCGCATGTGAATTTATAGATGATTTTGATGCGGCGCAGTTATCCTTTTTAGTGATAATCTTAACCATAGTATTCAGCTGGAGATGCGCGCGCGTGTGTGTGTGTGTGTGTGTGTATGTCCTGAGGATAATTTAGGTCCAGTCACTGACCATCAGCACCTGAGGCTATTACTCAAATATCTCAGTCGCCAAGCAGAGCAAAAATAAAGACTCTAAAGATGAAACGTTTGTAAATCAAACAGTAAGCTGTTTAAAGCGGAGATATTTTCAAAGACACTCGACTATGTAAACACGTTATTGTGTGAGAAGCTGTTTGTGCAAGGGAAATTTAGGACTTCACAAATATATGACAGACGCAGATAGGTAGATAAATAGATATTAACACACACACACACACACACACACACACACATATATATATATATATAGAGAGAGAGATATTACATATTAACATACACAGATATATAGATAAACATAGATATGAATAGTATGAGATAGATATTAATAGACATAGATGTATAGATATAAACAGACATAGATAAATGTTAACATACATAGATATGAACAGAATGAGATAGATAGATAGATAGATAGATAGATAGATAGATAGATATTAACGGACATAGAATGATATTAACATATACAAATATATAGATAGATAGATAGATAGATAGATAGATAGATAGATAGATAGAAACAGAATGCGATAGATAGATAGATAGATAGAAACAGAATGCGATAGATAGATAGAAACAGAATGCGATAGATAGATAGATGGTATTTATCAATTCACCCACAGGAATTGAATGTGGCAAAAGGCCTTTTTAATGTGGGTATGTCTGAGCCCGTAGGCCCAGCCAAAAATAAAACCCATCTAAACCCGTCCAAGCGGGCTAGTTCCGTCAACCTCCCCGAACGAAACCCCACCCTTCGGCGGAGCTTCGTCCGGGTTCCCCTCTGCAAGCAGAGAGTTCGACAGACACCCGGCTCGGCAGCTCACAAAGCGCAGATACTACACTTTGATCCTAGCCACCGGGCCGAGCGGGTATTCTTTTTATAGATAGATAGATAGATAGAAACAGAATGAGATAGATAGATAGATAGATAGATAGATAGAAACAGACTGACATAGATAGATAGATAGATAGATAGATAGATAGATAGATACAAACAGAATGCGATAGATAGATAGATAGATACATAAATAGATAATGAAGAGACTGAGATAGATAGATAGATAGATAGATAGATATGAGGAAACAACGAATATACTGAGAAAAGAGTTAGATAGATATACACAGAATGAGATAGATAGATAGATAGATAGATAGATAGATAGATATAAACAGAATGCGATAGCTAGCTAGCTAGCTAGATAGATAGATAGATAGATAGATAGATAGATAGAATAGCATCAATAATATGTTATTTAATAAGAAGCGTAGAAACTGGATGGTTGAGACGATGACTGACAGAAAATCAGACAAAATATTTCTGAGTTTGGAAAAAAAAAACAAGAAATAAAATAAAATTGAAATGAAATGTCGAATAAGCGAAGATCAGAGGGAAAATGATTTGAAGGGAAAGTCGTGGTTGTTTGGCAAAGGAAAGTCTTTGACGAAAAATCTACATGAAGGGAATTAAAGAATTCAAAAAGGTAAAAGAAATGGAAAATAAAATATGGATGTAAAGATCTTGAGAAAGTAGACAAAATGTAGGAATTTGGGAAAGGGGAGGATAAAGAAGTGTTCGGGAGAAAAGAAGAGAACAAGAAGTAAGAATAAAAGTTGAGAGAGAGAGAGAGAGAGAGAGAGAGAGAGAGAGAAAGAAGAAACGTTGAAAGGAAAGAGAGGTCAAAATTAAAATGAGAATAAAAGTATGAAGTAAAAAAAAAACGCTTTCTCTCACAAACACTCACGCACAGATAAAATAATACTATTCAAGATAAAAAATGACTGAGAATGAGAGAGAGAGAGGGGGGAGGGAGAGAGAGAGGGAGAGAGAGAGGGAGAGAGAGAGATAATATAATTATACAGAAATCGAAAGAAAAATGCCTAATGTGATAATCGAAAAAACAAAACGAAAAATTTAATATAGGGATATAAAGTGAATGAAAAGAAGAAAAAAAAAGAAAGAAAGAAAGAAAGAAAAAAGAAGGAAAGAAAGAAAAAGAAACCAAACAAAGGAAAAAGAAAGAAATATAAATGCACTAGGAACAGATAAAGTGGATGCGAAATAAATAAATAAAGAAGGAAGGAAAGAAAGAAAGAAAGAAAGAAAAAAAGATGAAATGGAGATTAAGTGGGTGTAAAAGGAAGAAAGGTATGAAAGAAGGAAAGAAAAAGAAGGAAGAAGAGACAGACGGAATGAAGGGAGAAAGGAAGAAAAAGAAAAATGTACAATAGGTATATAAAGTGAATGAAAGAGAAAGAAAGAATGAATGAAAACAAGAAATATAAAAGCACTATAGCCAGATAAAGCGGATGAGACAGAAAGAAAGAAAGAATGAAAGAAAGAATGAAAGAAAGAAAAAAGAAAAGACATTTAAATGAATTAGGAACAGATAAAGTAGATGCGAAATAAATAAATAAAGATGAAGTGGAGATTAAGTGTGTGCAAAAGGAAGGAAGGAAGGAAGGAAGGAAGGAAGGAAGGAAGGAAGGAAAAAACAGAAAATGCTCTATAGGGATATAGATTGAATGAAAAACAAAGAAAAAATTTAACAGTGAAGAGAAAAAATTCATGAAAAAGTAAAAAAAAAAGTAAAGTGTTTCATTCTTTTAGCCTTTCTCTTTTTCATTTTATTAGAACGAAAATAAAATAAAATGACAAAACGTAAAGAAAGAATAGAAAGCTGAAATTAAAGACGAAACAACGATAAAAAAATTGAACAGAAACAAGAAAGAATGGGAAGATACAATTTAAGGAAGACACAAAAAAAGTGATCCACAAACTAAAGGGACATTGGTATTTACTGAGTCTAGTCATGTCAGGTACAAGTCCTATTGAAGGGGAACAAAGATTGAAAAAATAAAAACGAAAAAGATAAAGCAAAAGGATTTGTGTTGGAGAAAAATTAAAGAAAAAAGTCAAGCAAAAATCCTATAAACACTCGTGAACAAAATGTCGGACATCGTCATGTTGGTAAAAAGTTTCTAATTTCCATTAAATCTCATGTAAAGTTCGATTCTCTTTCAAGAGCAATTCAGAAATGTATTTAAGGGTAAAATATCTCCTCATGGCTGAAAATAATTAAAACGCAACGAAAAAGAAACAAATCATTGTGTATTACCTGAACTTAAATCTCAAACTTTTCAATTTTTCATTGAGCATATATTCTCAGAATGTTTTGATGCACACAAATTTAAGATTCTCCAAATTTAATTCATATAGTTGTCGACCATGAAACATTAATGTTAATAATATAGCCGAATAAGCATCGCGTTTAACATGAGAATGCACGTTATATATATATATATATATATATATATATATATATATATATATATGTGTGTGTGTGTGTGTGTGTGTGTGTGTGTGTGTGTGTACTTACTGCCAATTTTTAGCAGATGAATATTGGGAAAACATGAAATGTCATAAAATGAAAAGGAAAAGAAAAAGAAATGAAAAGGGAAGGACAAGAAAATAAAGGAAAAGAAAAGAAAAGGAAAGAAGGATGATAAATTAAAAAAAGAGGTAAAAGGTCAAACGATAACAATAATGAATAAAAAGAAGGAAAAATAAATGAATGTAGAAAGAAAGATAGAAAAAATAAAGGAAAAAGAAAAAACAATAAGTAAACGAAAGAAAAAGAAGAAAAGAAGAAAGAAAGAAAAATAGTAAAGAGAAAGAAAGGAAGGGAAATAATAAGAGGAAATAGAGAAACAAAGAAGGAATTAGATGATGGGGGAAAAATATAAAGGATAAAAAGATGATAGAAACGGAAAAAAAGAAGAAGCAGATTCAGAAAGAAAGAAAGAAAGAAGGAAGGAAGGAAACGAGGAGGAAGATAAGCAGAAAAACTGGAAAGAAAAAGGTTAGAGAGAAAAGAAGAATTATACAAAGAATGCAATAAATAAAAGGAGAACATATGACGTAAAAAATGGAAGAAAGATGAAACGGAATAAAAAATATATTGTATAAATAATGAATAACATTAATCAAAAGGAAGTTTTAATGAGATTGGATATCAAAGAAAAAATTACGATGAACGGCCTGTGACAAAAAATGGATTGAATGAAGATGGCGCTGCTGATAGGCTGATGGGCTGGTGTTGGGGTGTTCAACGGCACAAAAATAACATGAAAGGCGAGCTTCACAATGATAATGACGACGACATGGAAGAAGAAGAAAAAAATAATTACCAACACCAAAAAATCTGAAAGTCGGCCTTGTACGCCATGCTTTTTTTTTCTTTCTTTCTTGAGTTTGTGATGTTGCCTACTTTCTTTCTTGCTTGAACGTTTTTTCCCCCTTTTCATTTATTTATTTTTTGTTTTGTTTATTGTCATTTCTTTTTTCTACCGCTTTCTCAACTCAATTTCCCCGTTTACTATTCTTCCGGAATTTCTTCATCATTACGACGACGGCCATAGAAAAAGAGGTCAGTCATTCATTGTGATGGGACAGAGAACACTTACGCACATCAGTATCTATCAGTTTGTTCATCATCGATCTCTCTACCATATTCTCTTGAAATCTAATTTACGTATATATATATATATATATATATTAGTGGTAATATATACATACATATGCAAAATATATAAATACCCATACATGTATATTTTTAGAATAAAAATTCCAAGAGGAAGAATCCAGATAGAACTCAATGTCCAGGACAGAGTAATAAAAAGGATTAAACACTAATATTCCATGGTCATAATTTATTCCATTGGAATCGTAAATACGATCCAATTCATCAGATCTACAAATTCAAAAAGAAAACAGAAAAAACAACTCCGGAAATAAAAACAGAATTTAGAGAGAGTGTAAGTATGAGGAGGAGGGAGATTAAACCTTAACAGAGAGAATTTTAGGAGAGGTGGGTGGAAGGGGTTTAAGTAAGAGAAAAATGAATGTTGTCGGATGTCTAATGCATAAAGATATATATATATATATATATATATAAGTAAATTATATATATATATATATATATATATATAAATTTTATCTATCTTAAGGCGTTATTTTTGATCATGTATTTTTCATTCACACGCACATAAAAACACACACACGCACACACACACACACACACACACACACACACACACATATATATATATATATATATCAAAATACTTTTACAAAATTTGAGGGCGGGTTCCTTACATCACGACAAGGGCAAAAGTTCCTTCGTTTTTGAGTTATTAAGTTTAAAGAAAGTTTACGGTAGATGACAGTGTTGTCATGTAGATTAGGTTACATTTGTAATTCGTGTACATTTGTGGTTATTCTGCTTTCAATATTTAACGTGTGTAGTAGTGAGTTAACTCAGTTGTGTTTAACAATGCCAAGATATTCATATCGTTAAAAGGCCTACATAATTTTTATATACGGCCGCGCGAATTGTAATGGACGCGAGGCTGCACGGCTGTACCAGATTCCGTTTCCAAACCGAAGGCTGTCGTGTCATCCAACCTTTTCTGCTATTTATCGCCGCGTTGCACCACCGTTCGTACGCCTGATCACGAAGAACATAATCTACAGGATGTTGGAGACAATCAAGGTATCAGCACATGTCATGTGGCCCTAGCATGTCGTACTGCATGGAGGGTACTTGAAGGGCAGCTCCAGTATCCGTACTAGTTGTAACGTGTGGAGGGTCATTCGACCTCTGATCACTCATCACGGAAAAATGTTTCCAATGGTTTATTGCACAAACTGCCGTTCCGTTGTTTGTCTCTTGAGTCTTGTTTACGAACGAGGCAACATTTTGAAGAGATGAAATGACAAATCCCCATGGTACAATACAGATTAGACACCAGCATCATTTTACGAATAATGTGTGGGCTAGAATTGTTGGTGACTGTCTGGTAGGTCCATATGTTCCCCCAGCACGTCTGCAGGAGACCTTATTTCGAACACACTTCCAGTCCTGCTGGAAGATATATCTCTGCTAATACGAAGCGATGCGGTTAATACACATTTTAGTCACATTGTTCGTGATGCACTGGCTGACATCTACCATGAAAGATGGATAGGTAGAGGAGAACCGGTTACATGGAGTGCACATTCATTTGGATTTTTATCTGTTGGGCCACCTAAAAAAATGCGCCAGACATTAATAATGCGGAGGCGCTTCATCAACGTATCATGGGGGCCTGCGAAACCATTGGAGACCGTGTGGGAAAGGGTCTGCAAGTCAATGATCTGATGGGTGCAGACGCGTGTAGAAGCAAGTTGGGGAAATTTTGAACATTTGTTATGAGTTGCCGTGTTGAGGTAAAATGATAGTCGTTTTGGCATATGTTTATATGGACATTTTACCTTGCTTTTGATTCGGGAATCCACTCCCAAAATTTGTAAAAGTATTTTTGGATTGTGTCTTGAATAGTACATTTAACAGTATGTACACGAAACTTTAAACTTAATAACTCAAAAACGAAAAATTTACGGGCATACATTTATATGAACAGTTGTCCTTATTTTGGTGTGACGAACTCGTCCCAAAAGTTTTTCAAATTATTTTTTGATATATATATATATATATATATATATATATATATATATATATATATATATATATATATTGGTTTGTGATCCCTATTTATCACCAGAGATCCCAACGGATTTTCTTTTTGCTTACGGATTTTTCATTCTAAGCTGAAGAATCCAGAGGGAGCAAACGCTTTGCTTTTGTTTCGGATACTATTATACATCATATACACACACACATACATACGTACATACATACATATACATAAGAATAAATTCATTACCCGATTTTTCCACATGTGTTTTTTCCTTGGATGTATATCATATTGGTCTGTATACAATACACTGAGGTCTCTTCATGGATCTATCTTTTTAATATTCTATATTAAATATACCTACTTGGATTAACATTTCCACTTACGGATTTGATATTGTCAATCTATCTATCTATCTATCTATCTATCTATCTATATATATATATATATATATATATATATATATATATATATATATATATATTGTGTATTTACGCAGCAATCCATCTTTCATGCAAGTTTCATTAAATTTGACAGACAAGATGCTTTGATTAATTTTTTATATAATTTCTCATGTAATCTTATAATTTTATTGTTTTATGTAGATAAAATATAGTAAAACTTTCCAAATGTTGTTTTTTCTAGCGCTTCGGCTACACATTTAGCCATTTTCAAGGCTGAAATATATTAACTGTTAACTAGAAATAGATTGTTGTATGTATGTATTTATATAATGTTTGGAAGCCTTATTAAAAAAAACAAAACAAAAAAAGCAACACACAATAATATCAACTATAAACATGGAGAAAATATCTTGACTGTTTTGAAAATGCAACATTATATAAATACATACATACAACTTTCTCAGCAAGCTACATGACCTTACACTCTTCCTCACCAAGCTAGTTGACATTTACACTCTTCCTAAGAAATCTACGTGACATTTACACTTTTCTTCACCAAGCTATATGGCACTTACACTCTTCCTCGCCAAGCTACGCGACACTTACACTTTCTTCATTCCGTCCTCCATAGGCTCTTTGTTATTATAC